TTTCGTTGTTGATTTTACAATTTCTTAGTGACTTTAAGGCTTCTTGGTTGATTCTGACTAGTTTACCATTTTTACTTTCCATGTCGATTTGAATGATGTTTTAAGGAATAAGAATGAAAGAAAGCGTTACCTAGGTGGAGAAGGAGGAGGAGCTTGGGGGTGATGGAGGCCGGACAGCAGGGAGGCAGCGGACGCACGCGGTGGTGAACGGTATTTGATTTCCTTCCTTTTGCTTGAATGTTACTGTGTTTGCTATTGTTGGAACCCGTTGAACTGCACTTTGGCTCTTTCTTCTTCTTCTTTTCTGATTTTTGTACAATCCTAGAGTTTTATGATGGACTCTGAGGTTTGGGTATTTGATCTTTAGTTTTGGTTTTATGAGGGGTGATATTGGCTTTTGTGGCTCAATCAAATTCTTTGAGGTTTAGGCCATGTTTACTGGTTTGACAGCAGCAGGCTAACGGTTTTAGCAGTATGTTTTCACTGGTTTTTTGAAAATGGGTTAGGCCATGTAGATAGGCATGGTGTTTATGCTGTAAGCTCTATAGTTTTCTTTTGGTTTAGGTGGATTGTGTTTTGAAGAAGAGCTATAAGGCTTTAGGTTTGTGCAGGTTATTTTGATATGGTGAACTGGTTTTCGGTTAGGTTGGACAAGGCCAAAGTTTTTACTGATGTGAGGCCATTGCAGGTTTTTGTTGGTTTGGTGATGGCTATTTTGAATGATTGTTCTACAGGTTTTTGAAAATGGTTTGAGGTTATGTTTTTTTTGTGTTTTGGTGATGAACAGGTTTATGGTTATGTATGCAAGATGTTTGAAAAAAAAATGGTTTGTATCTTTTTGTTAACAGCAGTGTTTCTAAGTTTTTTTAAGGCTTGGAGATTGACTTCTTTTTTCTTTGTTCTCAAGTGATCCTAACGTTATATCACTGCCTCCTTTTGTTACAGGCTGAAGATTGAAAAATATATTTTTTACCCTCCTCTTGGCCTTCTGCGTCAAACTGTTACATTTAGTTTGTCTCTATTCCTCTTTTATGTTTTACTCCCTACTGGCCATATTACTGCAGTTTGTCTTGTATCTCTTCCTGCCTAAACCAAACCTGCAAAACCAATTCTCTATCTCTCTTCTCTCTCTTCAATGCAAATTTGATATAAAATGATGTTTGCATTTGCTCTGAAAAAGCACCCCTGCTGGAAAATGATGAAAATAGGAAACAAACATTGCTTGCATATTGGTTAAACTGCATTTCTCTTTTGCATGGTACAGTGGGTTTACGTTGGCATTGGCTTTATTCTTGATGCTGCTGCTACTTTGTGTATGCTGTATGCTCTTTTGAAATAGGCATTTGGATTTTTGAAAATGCAATTACTTTCAAATATGCAGTTTTGAAAAATGAAAAAAAAAAAATGAGTTTGTGCATGTTTTAAATTGCATTCATTTATGAAATAAAATTCCTCCCTTTTTTGTGAACCGGGAGAAATCCCGTGATTTGCAAAAAAGGTAAACTGATTCCGGCCCGTGCTTTTAATGATGAGCATTAAATAATTTTCTGCATTTAATTATTTATTTGAATTCTAATTTTTTTCTTTTAATTGTGCAGGTAAAATTAAATGAGCGGACACGCATTGGATTGGAAGCTTTAGAATTAAGATAGACTAGTTTATTTCATTTCATTTTAATTTTGTCAATTCATTATTGTAATTTACTGTAATATATACAATATTTACAAAATAACTTGTACCAAAAAAATGAATAAAAGAAACTATTTGTCCATTAATTCTTCTTCTTTATTTATTTATCGTTTATTATTTCTCCGAACGAATAATAATTGAAAACAAATTTCCAATTACCTACATTCAAAATAATAAGCAGATAAATAATAAATATCATTGATCAACTAATATCTTCGGTTATTTAATTCCTCATTCCCAACTAAATTATAATAATTAAAACAGGGTTTCAATTATTTAACTTAGAACGGCGAGTGATTAAACAATCGTTATTGACCAACGAATTCTTCGAATGCTTATCATATTATTCATAACTTTTAAATTATGTAATAACTAAAAAATAAATTCTAGTTACTTAAATTTAAAATAATGAGTAATAAATAAATACTATCCACACAGTTAATGCGTTTCTTCTCTGATGTTCATTTTATTATCCATACATCTTTAAACTAAATAATAATCAAAATGAATTTCAATTATTTAAGTTTTAGATAATAGATAATTAATAAACATCTTTTTTTTTGCACGAATCGGTTAAATGATTTAATGTTCAGCATAAATAGCTCTTGGCCTGAAAAAGTCATGAAATTTAAAATCGATGGATCAAAACAAATGTAATGTAAAGATGCAGATAGGAGACGACGTCTTAGGTCAAAATTTGGGGTACAACACAATATTAGAAGAAAGCGTTCTTGGATCTTGCCTAAGGTAAGTGACCCGATTACTTGTTTCTATCATTTATATATAATATTACATTCATGTGTGGTTATATTCATGAAATTATTGTTTAAATTTGTAGATGAGAAAACAACCAGGGGGTTACGAGTGTGGGTATTATGTCATGAAACACATGTTAAACATTGTCCTTGCCGGCATTGTTGATTCATGAGATACGGTATATAATATATATGTCATAAAATGTTTATATTATATTATATATAAGTTTGGCTATTCAATTATTATCATGCATGATATTCACTTTTTTTTCTCTTTTTTTATGTAGATGTTTAACGACAAAACATCATTTCCCATTGAGGACTTTATTGAAATTCGTAAATGTTTGACATTTATCCACAATAAGCTTAAGGGTCATGTAGTTTGATTTATAGATATGTTTGATTTTTGAAATTGAAGGTGTAAATAACATATTTTGTGTATGATGTAAATATTACTTTTGACTTTTGATGCAAAATATAGGTTGATTTTTATGCTCTTTATGCATGGTTAACAAAAATACAAGTTGTTTTAATTCTCTGATATGGTAAATAGATACAGGTTAAAATATGTGAAAAAATTTAAAAGCGGAGAATTCTTTTTTTAAAAACAACATAAATTTTTGCAACAGTTATAACAACTAACTATGGTATATTGAACGCTGACCAAAATAATATAAATTCTAAAATGTTGCTGCTGAGAATCGAATTTGGAACCTTTAGGGTTATCACAACGATTGAGATAACTAATCATTGTAATATCGCACACACTTTCAAGTATACTACAACGGTCCCAGAACCGTAATTATAAGTAACACATTTACAATAACACTCTACATAACAACACCTGAACCTGCGTGATTATATATCATTTTCAACCATTGTTAAATGCCTTTTTTATAATAGTGTATGCAATAATCACCATCTTACTGGTTTACGTTGATGATGTGGTATTAGTGGAGAATTATTTAACTAAATGTTAACACATAAAAGATGTTCTACTCAAGGCTTTCAAGATCAAAGAACTTGGATTGCTCAAATACTTTTTAGGTTTAGAAATTGTACATTCTAAACAAAGCATTTTCATATCCCAAAGAAAGTATTGCTTTAATCATCTAGTTGATTCAGGTTTGCTTGGCCCAAAACCTGTCACCACTCCATTTTGTACCTTTCTATAAAGTTATGCCATGATAACAAAGCCCAATTTAAACCCATACCGACTTATAAAAGATTAATTGGTAAACTCATCTATCTCAATATCACTATGCCAAATATTACTTCATCGCCCAACAATTGAGTTAGTTTCTATCCAAGCCATCAATTGTTCATTATAATGATGCATGTAGAGTTCTTGGATATTTGAAGCGTTGTTCTGGACGAGGGTTGTTCTTCCATAGAGACTCAACTATAATTTTTTAAGCTTCTTAAATGTTGATCGGGTTGGTTGTATAAATAGTTTAAGATCAATATCAGATTCTTGTTTTTTCATCGGTCCATCTCTCATTTCATAGAGAACTAAGAAACAAAGTATATTTTGAAGGTCATTTTCTGAAGTAGAATACTAAGTATTAGTTGTTGCAACATGTAAATTGTAATAGATTTTTTATCTCTATTATGTGATCTACAAGTAACTTATGTTAAATCTCTAGTGTTGTTTTGTGATAATAAAAACTCCATTAACATAGCTAACAATCCAATTTTTCATGAAAGAATCATACATCTTAAAATTGACTGCGATCAACTTTGAGATAAATTCCAAGTTGTTGTAATATAGTTGTTACATGTTTCATCTCACAATCAAATAGGAGTTTTTTTTTTTTTTACCAAATCCTTGTTGCCAAAGCCTTTCTCATTTCTTATATCCAAGTTGAATTTGATTAACATTTATCAAATTTCAACTTGTGGAAGGTTATTGACCAATATAAAAGTTAATTAGGTTGTTAATATAAAAGTTAATTAAGTTGTTAGGAGTGTTAGTTAGGCAGTTAGAGACTTATGAAATTTATTAGAAGGTTAAAACTTAGTTAGTACTTAGACTATTACTTGCTTTGCAAGTAACCTCTTATAGAGGAGCAATAAGTGAGATTTGCCTTGTTGAATCCCTTAGTAATTCATTTGTATAAAAAGCCTACTTTATGCCATTATCAATTTAAGGAAAATTCAACTTTCTTTCTTTCTACCTTAAGAATGCTATCATTCTATATTAACTTCTAATAATATAAATTATTTTTTTCACCCCTATAAATTATATTTTCAGCCGTAGAAGCAAGCACAAATAGTGAACACACTCCTTGCATCACACGTAAAAGAGCACTACATTTAACTAATGTCAAAGTAAAGAAAAATACAACTAAAACTACTAAAAAAATCAACTTACCATTATTGCACAAGGAAAAACACACCTTAGTGCATTCAATTTTAATGTATTTGCAGCAACACGTCTAGGAAAAATTCAAATTCATCCCCTAATGCGACAATATACCTATTTATCTACTAAGTGCCGTATACCGTTCATTCAACGTTTTCACACTACTATGACACAAATTATTCTACAAAGCGTCACGCAAGTAAATTGTATTTTATTTCAAAATCTTCAGAAAGTTGTTGCATAAACCACATGCTCTCATCGTTCAAAAAAGTCTCCAACGAGTCGTCACCACCACTACTACTATTCCCTTGTTCTGGAACCTGGTTATTGAAACATGGCAACACTTCATGGTCTGAAATCGAAGGAGCTTGGAATTCCAGTGATGAAGATTCCGAGGAGTTGTTTGTGTTTGGCCATTCTGTTCCTGAAACTGAACTGTGCGATGTGTTTTGATGAAGAACGGACTCGGGTCTATTCGGGTCGTGAAATCCGGATGAGGTTTGAACCTGTTCAAGCAAACGTGGCATCCACACGCAACGCAAGACATCTCTGAACTGTTTACTATTGACATCGCACTTGAGCTGCTTCGCTTGCTTGATCACTCTCGTTCTCCAATAGTTCTTTATTTCATTGTCTGTTCTTCCCGGAAGATGCTGTGCAATTTTCGACCACCTTTGATAAAACAAACATATATATCAAGACACAGACAAACAAACACCAAACACGACACTGACACTGACACGTCTCCATATACTATGATATTATAGACAAACTAGCATGGAAATAGTGAATATTTTACCTATTGCCCCAGCGAGAGTGGAGTTCAAGAATAAGAATCTGTTCTTGGAGTGTGATATTTCCACGGCGAACATCGGGACGCAAATAATTTAGCCACCTTAATCTGCAACTTTTTCCACTTCTCTTCAGACCTGTATGTTTATTTAGATTATTATCTAACAATAGGGTTGCGAAGAAAATATAAACAAATATGAAATATAACATATATGTACATGCCTGCAGAAGATGCAACAGTGTTCCAGAGACCTTCACCGTGGGATGTAATGTAACTAACAAGAATGGTGTCCTCTTCTAACGTCCATGGACCCTTTCTTAATTCATTGAGGTTTGTAGACTCATTTTTCTTAACCTTAATATCCATATGTGGAGTTAAAATTTACAAGTGCTTTAGTTTTGTGAAAGGAATAAGTAACAGTACTATGATTTATATACGTGAGATATGAAAGAAGGAGATGAAGAAACGTGTTGGGTTTGGCTTTGTAAATGGGTGGTTTCACTTATTGGAGGCATGTGGAGGAGTTATATAGTAATAGAGTCGGATAAGAATAAGTATAGTCCACAAAATAAAATAGAAAAAAAAGGGTACGGAAAAGTGACGACTTGGTACACACATAATGCACCAGTTTCATTCTAGTAAATTTAATACTAGTAGGTAGCTACTTTTGGGATTAAGATGGAACTAAGCTTGCAGTTTGGGCTTTGACTGGTTGACTCATTGTGAGGCACGCGCTTGGAAAGATCAGTGCAGCATCTGATACTTTTTCACATCTACACGGATTTGCCTTTAGCTATATTATACACCTCATAGTAAAAATATAAAAACAAATCTCTACTATTGAAAATACACGAATAATAACTCTATTATTGAAGATGAGTAATTGAAATAAAGGTTAAATAAATTTTTAGTCTTTTTAAATATTTTAAATTTTTATTTTTAGTCCTTTTAAATTTTTTTTAAAAAATTAAATTTTATCTTTTGGTTTTTCCTGACAAAATCGTAGTTAAAATGGTCTCTAATTTCGTCGCTAAAATCGTCGCTAAGTTATAAAAATCGTTACTAAATTGCAGGAGGGACGAAAAGTTAAAATTAAATTTTTTATGAGGACTATTTTTTGAAGGAAAATTTTAGAGACTAAAAACGAAATTTGAGATATTTAGAGAGACTAAAAACTTATTTAACTCTTGAAATAAACTAATGAATTGTGAATGAATATTCTTTCTGCAATTTTCTTCTTATAAAATAATTTTTACTTGTCTTATACAAAAAAATCATCATAGATTTATATAATGTAATTGATCCTAATTGATATATGACATTTTAATGATGATCGGGAATTAGAGTTAATTGATTCAAATTTTTTATTATAGTATTCTTTCATCAGCTAAAAATGTGTCTCAATCACATCTTAATAAGATATTATCTTGTATCAGACTTGGACTGATATAGTTAATCTAGTCCATTATCTATTTAAGACTGACCTCGCTCTTTTGTGTGGATCACTTGATTAGGGCGAGTTTCATTGGGTTTGGGGTTGATACATGTCCGCTTTAGAACTTGACCTAAGAATCAGACATACACAATCCCTCAAGCATGGGTCATGCAAGGGTAAAATGTTTTCTTAGGTCATATCTAAAAAATGAACATCTACATAGCCTCTCAAGCATGAACTGTGTAAGATTGAAATGTTTGAGTCCTATCAAAAAAACATGTGTGTACGCAATCCCTCAAACATGAGTAGTGTAAGGGGGAAGTGATTTCTAGGGACTAATCAATCATTAACTAATTTGTCTTGGTGGAATCCCGTTCTCAAGCGAGTTTGCTCTTATTTCTCAAGTTGTGGTGATTTTGGAGTGTGATCGGCTAATGTCCGTTGGTTATTTGATCGTTTCACTTCCCCTACTATGATGATGGTCAAACGTCTTGAAAATTGGAGTTAGTCGTGTCTTTTCCCTATTTCTCGCAACCCTAATTAGATAACCTTAAATACAATCGTCACTTAGTCTACCACGATATTTTTTTATTTAAAAATTGTTTTAAAAAATTATTTAACTATGGATAGCGGAAAGAATCTCAAATCGACAATCGTCTATCCCGAACTGTTATCGAAAAGATCAGATATGCGCTAAACCATATAAAACGTATTTGTTTAATGAAAAAATTAATCAATATATTTTCAACAACAAAGATTGAATAAAACTATACAACAATAATCGATTTCCAATGAAATATCAAATAAAAATTGATTTAAGAAATTTGTCGAACACTTGATGTGCAATAAATTCAAACAAGATTTTTTTTGATATTGTTGCTATGAGAAACCAATTGCACTCTTATAGATTACAATTAACTCAATAAAATAATTTGAAATATTAGACAAAGAAATTATCTCAATGTATCGATTGCAAAATCAATGGTTTCACAATTTGCAAGTAAAAGCAGGAGAGAGAGAGAGAGAGAGAGAGAGAGAGAGAGAGAGAGAATAATTTGTGTGTGTATATATATATATATATATATATATATATATATATATATATATATATGTGTGTGTGTGTGTGTGTGTGTGTGTGTGTGTGTGTGTGTGTGTGTGTGTGTGTGTGTGTGTGTGTGTGTGTGTGTGTGTGTGTGTGTGTGTGTGAGGAATAGAAAGAAATAACAGGAAAAATAAATTAGAGAGTTTTATAATTTTTTTAAATTAAAACAGTATGTGTCGTCCTAAAATTTTTATGGGTCGACACATAATAGAAATTTTACTTTATGTGTCAACTTGAAATAGACAAAAACTTCTGGTTTTGAAAACATACAGTATGTGCAACCTATAGCTCAGATATGTCGACCTATAGCTCGGATCTGTCGACCTATAATACGTATGTGTTGACACATACTGAGCAGAATGTGATTTTTCAAAATTGTTTCAGGATGTGTCGACTTGAAATATAGATGTGTTGACCTATAGACAAAATATGTAGTCTATGTGTCAACCTGAAACATGTATGTGTCGATACATACTGAAGGTGAGAAAATACACAAGAAGGAGGAATGAATTGTGTAACTGATAACTTAAGCTTTTTCAAACACCAACTTCTAAATCTGACCAAGTTCAGATTTTAAGCTTGAGTATGAACCAGTGGAATATTTAAAGTGCAGAAGCTATAAGTAAATTACACGCAGAACATATCTTGGTTCCTCTATAATGAGACTAGTCCAGTCTTCTTATCACACAAGAGTTTTTCACTATAATAAGTAGATGATTACAATTTGCATAGACACACCAGTCCAAGACTTCCTGCTCAATCTCACTAGAAAGAGACTTCTTGCCTAGACCAACTGTCCAAGACTTCTTTGCTCAATCAAACTAGAAAGAGACTTCCTTGCCTAAACCAATTGTTCAATACTTCCTTGCTTAATCAAACTAGAAAAGGAATTCTTTGCTAAAACCAATTGTTCATTACTTTCTTGCTCAATCAAACTAGAATGAGACTTTTCCAAGTTCTAAACAAAATGTTTAGATTACAATAAGATGTACTTGATATATAATCATAGGTACATATAATACAACACATGCAAATACCTTGATATTGGAGAATTCTAAGATGTACAAGTATAAAAATATTCTCAAGTATACGTGCAATACAATAATTATAAACTGTAACGTGAAGAGTGAAACAGTTCTTGTGATTTCTGATTTTCTGTTATTGTTCTTGTTGTATTATTATTGTTACTTATTTTTGAATCTTTATCTCCTTTATATAGAGGGAACAAAAGAGACGTTATAAGCTTGCTTGTATAAGTGTCTTTGTTAAAGAAGTTATTTCCAAGAGAGAGACATTGGGGTTGGTATGATACGAATCTTCATCTTCTGAATAATTGCATTATTCGTTATTTCTTTCTCAAGTAAGGAGTTCATAGGCACGAAGTAGTAGACTGAAGAAATAATATCCCTTTTCCTTGAGCCTTGAGCCTTGTGCTAAAACCTCTAGTTGACTTCATCCACAATTCAATTTGTTTACAAGATGTAGTTGCTTTTGCAGAGAGTACAGACAAAAGAGCCTTGTAATACACTTCCAGAAAGGCGTTTAGTTCAGTTGGAATCATCAGAGGCAACGTCAATATAGAAACTGCATTTATACTAAAAAAATTAGAAGCTTCAATATGGTGTTGAGGTCTTGCTTAAAACTCATGTTCTGATTCAGTAGAATCTGATTTCACTTGCTTCTTCTTTACAAGCTCTTTAACTAGGTTAGAACCAAGTTAAATATAAGCTTAATGGCCCTATACACTTAATCAAACATTAGTATACCCTATTGTTCTTTAAGTACTTTTGTTATCATTAAAACCCAAGGAGTATGCACTCAATTAGTGTGAACATATTTTGTTTCAACAATCTCCCTCTTTTTGATGATGACAAACATAAGTATTTTAAGAACCATTGCTTGGTCAGTTATAATAATTTGACAACTTTAGAGGATGAGGTTTATAAGCTCCTCTTGAATATAACAATACATAGTTTGAGGTTTGTAAGCTTCACTTAAGTTCTATCCAAATTACTTAAATAATTTTGATTAATAACTTGACAACATCAGGCTCTGAGATTCGTAACCTCCCCCTATTAATCTAACAGTTTATAAGTTGAGGTTTGTAAGCTCTACCTAGATTCAATCCAAATTATTATTTCAATTTTATTAACTTGAGTTCAAAGCTTGGGGTTTGTAAGCTCTCTCTGAATTTTAATACTTCACGGGTTGAGTTTTATAACCCCCCCCCCCCTAATGTACTATCCAAGTTATTAAAACATCTTCTACAACATTAAGCATATTTTGGTTAAGTTAAGGATTCAAGATCTTGACAAAAGTACATTTTCACATAGAAAATGTCTTTTTAAAGTCTTGAAATACTTTTCAATAAATCACAGATTTCTTGTTACACCATTAGGCACATGTTTAGGGATCTAGATAAAAGCATATTTTCACATATAAAATGTCTTGAATTCAGAATCTTGAAAGCACATTTTCACATAGAAAACTTATTTATCAAAGTCTTGAAGTACATCCATATTTCACATACTTTTTATTACAACTTTAAGCATAAAATGATTAAGTTGAATAAGTTGGATTCAGGATATTGATAAAAACACATTTTTCACATAGAAAATATGTTTTTATCAAACTCTTTAAATACTTTCATATTTCCCATATAATTCTCCCCCCTTTTGTTATCAACAAAAAGAATCAAAAAAGAAAGAAAGAAAAAATAAAAAGAGAGAAATAAGTTATGAGACAGAAGGAAAATGGAAAAAGATTCTGCTCAGAAAGAAAGCAGTAAAAAAAAAGGTAAATAGTCAGTGAAAAGACAAAAGCATGTTT